AGGTTCTTGATCGGCGCAAGAAAGAGTCTCATGAGGGCCAGCTTCTTCTCTTCCAACTCCCATCAAATCCAAATAATACAAATAATGAGAAACCATATTGTTCATCTCATCGTTATCGAATCCACTGTTGCATATCTGATCGCCATAAAGAACGTTTATGGTCGCTCCAAAGCCAGGAGATCGTTTCGCCGCCGTGTCATTCTTCGTAGGCTTCCATTTTCCGACGAAAACATCGTGTGCCGACGGTAAATGCTTCTTCGGTGGCGTCATCCACCGCCAAATCGCCGCTTGGAACGCTAACGTTGCGTTGTTCTCTAGATACTCTGGATGACTCAGTAGGTCCACTTTCAATGCCTCTCCGGTTTGACCGTAATTGTAATTCCTAAACCATAACAACAAAATCGAATTAAACTGGGAGATAAAATTATACTAAACCAGAATCTTAAGACGTACCAGTAAACTGGTAAAGCTCCTCGACCGTGGTATGAGACACCAGGAGTACAAGGATATGTTAATTTGTAGTAATCATCGCAATAAAGCTTATCAGGACTCATTTCCTTGTTGTAACATAATCCCCAAGCCAATGGTCCGCCGGTCGCAACCCCGTACCCGCCTATAAAACCAAAATAATAAAACCGGTTATTAGTGATTCAATTTCCCGGTTAGCCATTAATAGTCCTTAGCTTTTTCCTGCTTTAACGTCTCTGTGCGTTTCTTTATAAAGAGAGTATGTTCTCTTCTTTTATTTATCTTTTTCTAGTATTCAAACAGCAAACAGCATTCGTGGGCCTTTTATAGGGCTTGTTTCTGCTTTGGGTAGGGCCCATTGTTTGGGTTAGGCTATTATTATGATCAAAATGGTAGCTATGTAAAAAGGATACTACAAAAAGATAAATAAAGTATTATTCAGAAGAAAAAAAAAACCGGTTTGGAAACTTGCATGAAGTTTTGCTTCCAACGTGGCCGAGAAACGCAGCAACTTCTTTCATTCCTTGAAGTTTCTCACCGGCGGTACCGAACCCAAGCGGCTGATACTCGGCGGCCGCGTTGATGAATGATCGGTAGTCCCAAAAACCAGCGGCGTGAGCCACGGGACTGTTACGTTTTGAGAATAAATTCTCGAATTGATAAGTCTCGAAAAAATCGGAGATTGTATGGTTACAACAATACTCGGACCATCCTTTACATTCCCATCCTTTGTCGCATAACTTTTTACCCTTCACGATTTTCACTAGCGGCTTTCTTGCTAAGTTCGAAGACTCGGAATCTTCAGCGTTGGCTAGAGATTTGGTCTGAAACACGATCAATGCCACCACTAGAAGCAGGAGGAAGAATAGCGCTTTTGAAACCATAGTTGAACAATTTTATCGTCTTATTCTTCTTCTATTAGTGAGATCATATTGTTTGAATAAATATATGTGGAAATGTAAACAAACACAATGTATAGAGTAGTGTCGTGTTCGTTTTAGGAGGAAGTAGGTTTTCGGAGTTTGGTGGTAGGAGAAGAGTTGCTTTTGGTGGGGTTTTTTTTTGCTTTGTTTTGACGTTTCTTAGATTGGAAGTTACATTGTTGGAGAAGGTTGGTCGAGCATAACACGTATTGAAACTATGTATGTTTCGAACTTGTTTTAAAAATCCCTTTGAAATTATTTTTTTGGCACTAGAAGTTGGACCGCTCATAGCAACATGAGTTCTTATTGGCTTCATTGGTAAAAAAGTCTTAATAGGCTTACGTCCACTTTATAATTTGTGACGTTTTTATCTTACCAATCACAAAAGTGTACCAAATAGACGGTGGTCTCGTGGTCTCGAGAGTAAAACTTCAAATTCAAGGTCACTAATTCAATTCTATTTAAGAGAGGTATTTTATGCCTTAAATTTAGTATTATCAACGGTTGGTCCCGGACATCGGAGAAAATTATAGATCAAAGATTCGGAACTCTTACGATTTATCAAAAAATAAAATCACAAAAACAATACCAAAATATTACACTCAATTTCATTTGTATATCTTTTTCTTATAGTTATTTTTTACAGTTTTGCACTATACTGTAACAGCTTAGAACTCCAATTTATAACTAAAAAAATTATACCACTTTACAGTACTAATCAGACCTATTTTGTTCACTATTATATGTACGAGTTTAAAGGTACAAATTTTAGAGGAATAAGTTTATTTTCCACTCATTTAGTGGAACCTACTATAAAGGAAAACAAATTCACCATAAATGGTGGATTTCTAAAATAATTGTCAACCATTTGCCTCCTACTACCTCGAAGAGTTGAAAACGGAACGTGGTAAGGAAATAACAAATTGGAAATGAATATTATAATTTTGTTAGCTACTACATACACGAATTTAAATAATTTTTTTTTCCTTCTAAATGTTATTTTATTGGCACGTATTTTACAATTAATTTAAAACTATAAATGGAAACTGTAAATAGGCTCGCTTTGCGATACGTCTTGAAAAAATTCTTGCCTAATAAGACTGTTTAGGCTCCCAATGGTGATGTTTCGCAGTGAATAGTTAGAAAAATCTATATTTATACATATGTATTTAACAAAAATTTA